CCTTTTGCCCTCTCCCATGGGGAGCTGCTGCCCCTTCTTGCTGGGTTAAATAGAGCTGCGCAGGAAGCCATTTGCTGGATCCGAAATGTTTTCCTGCCTTGAACCAGAAATAGCATGTCCTCAGTTCTCATACATGTAAAAAATTCAAATCTGTTTAATTGTTAGCTCTGTTTCAGTTCTAGTATTAAGGCTTTTTTGTGTATATTTATTTCTTTAATCTTTTAAAACATTTTCAATATAAAATGTCTTGATCTGGCAACTTGAGACTAAAAATATAAAAATATTTTTAATAAATAAAAATAAAATATCAAAATGAGATGTTTTGCAAGCAACGATGGGGTTCTTCTTATAAAGCCTTTCACGCAGGGAGGTTTGAGTGGCCTCTTTTCCTCCTGATGCCAGGAAGGAAGGGGACGGCCCTGCCCAGCTCTGCTAATTCTGTTGGGGAGGAGGGTGTTTGCCCCCACTTTTCATTGCTGCTCCAGTGGCAGGATATGCTGTTCTTTCCTGGCAGATAACGTCACCCTGCAGATCGATGGCATGCTCTATCTGCGGGTCATGGACCCTTATAAGGTACTATTGCTGTCCTGCTGAGTCCTGAACCAGGGGGCACAAGGCGACTTTCAGTCCCCAGGAGTCCAGGGCTGCCTTGGGCCCAGCACACGAAGCTCTCCCAGCTCCCTTTGCCGAGACACCCAACGCACTGTGCACTGTGAGGCGAGGGCCAAGCACCCTGTTCCCTGCGGTCCCTCTGCGAGAGGGAAGAGGGAAAGGCAGATCTTGGCCAGGGTTCTGCTTTTCCTTGAGGGGGGCGTCTGTGGCAGCATCTTGTCTTAGTGCTGTTGACTAATTCTGCCTCTTTCGGAATCTGTTTCAGCAACCCCACGACTTATTTTTATTTTTTCTGTTCCTGCTGTGCAGGCCAGTTACGGGGTGGAGGATCCTGAGTATGCAGTGACCCAGCTGGCACAGACTACCATGAGATCTGAACTGGGCAAACTCTCCCTTGACAGAGCCTTCCGGGTGAGCTGGGGAGAGGGATCATGGCGCTGTCAGCATCCAGCAGCATCTCCTGGACTCTGTGGGGCTTGTGCAGACAGTCTGACACATTTAACAGCAAAACTGCCTTTTCTTGGAGCACTCTTGGCATCCTTTTTAGTCAACCTTTGGGTGCAGGTCTTGCTTTGGTGGTTCTATTTGATGGAAGCTGGTTTTGCTCTTGGTTAGTCAGAAAAGATGATGGGTGATGTGTGCCCAGACGCAGCTGTTGGGCTATGGGATTCTGCCCCAGTCTCAGGGATGAGTGTCCTGGCTCCCCAGGCTCAGCCCCTTGTGCTGTGTTTGCTGGAGAGAAGCGGGAGCTGTTTGCCCTCCTGGGAGATGT